GATCGCTGGAAGCAATATTGAAGGTTACTGGTCAGCCGGTAACCCTCCCTGCCGGCTTGATTATCAGCCAAGGTCCCTGCCGATCCTGCACTCAGCAGAGGGGGCATGGCCTTCGGTGGGCTGCCCCTGGCATGACTCTGAGAATGCAAAGAGGGACTCAGTCCCTGCCTGGTATCATCCAGGCACACCGACAGCGGCAAGTGTGGTGGCGCATTCAAGAGCTGCGGCAGGAGTGCTTATGAAGAGCCAGTCTGCCTGAATCGCAGTGGATAGCAGCTGAGGAATTTGGTGCCATTATCACTGCTGCAGGAGTGGTCTTTGAGAGCCAGGCAGCCTGTTTCCACTGAAAGAAGCAGCAACAGCATTCGGCTCCATACAGCCACAATGGAGGGCCTTTCTTTCAGTTTTGTGAGCAGGGGCGCGCCCAGCGCTATCACAGCTGTGGCAGGAGTGCTCTATTCGAGCCAGTCTGCCTCATCCGCAAACTTCAGTGGCGTCGACGCTTAGCGCCAGGGTGGCTACGGCAAGAGTACTCACATGAGCCAGTCTGCCCATCTATACAGGTAATGGGGGTGGCCGAGTGGCATCACAGGAGCGACAGTAGGGCTCATTTGAGAGGGCAGCTACTTTCCTGGCGATTCACAAAAGTGATGCGATAACGTGCCATTCCAGCCGCGGCAGGTGAGCTCCCTTTCAGGCAGTCTGCCCATTACCTTCATTGTCTATGCTAGTGCCCTTTGAGCCAGCCTGCATAGCAACTTCAAAGGCTGTGTTTACCGCACCAACAGCCATGGTAAGAGAGCTCCTTAAAGCCAGTCTGTCTCTTAAAGGGGATGGATCCCCATCAAAGGCTGCGTCCAGCATTATTACAGCAACGGCAGGAGAGCTCATTTGAGACACTCTCTCCAAATGGTCTGCCTTTAAATTCAATGACCACGCCCAATGCCAGGGCACCCGCAGCAGGAGAGCTCCTTCTGAGCCAGTCTGCCTAGTTTCCTCAAGGGCACCACCAGCACCATAGCAGCTGCAGAAGGAAAGTCCCTTTCAATCTGGTATGCCCAGCTTCCCCAAGAGCAGCGCCAGCGCCCTGCGGGAGCATTCCATTGAGTTGGGGCCAGTCTGCCTTATATCAGAGGGCTAAGAGGCATACGAGTCCAGCACCAGGGCAAGCGCATCAGGAGCCAGTTGGCTGGATTTCACAGCTGTAGTGCGGCCATGACGCTTAGCGCCATGGGAACCGCAATGGGGGATCGCAGGCAGGATAGATTACCCTCTCCGAAAACGGTGGCAAAATTGGCACCCTTTTTTAACCATTACATAGGCGGCGCCTCATCAAATAATCGGCCAGTTATAACAGTCCTTACTGGCATGCAACTTTGGGCAGCATTCCAATTGACTTTGGGCAGTCTTGGAGCCATTTGCGCTTATCCAACAGCTGCTCCTTCAATTCAGTCCCCTTAAAAGGGACAGTAATTGCTGACAGGTTCAGTCTACTATTCCCTGTCCACCTTAGGTCACAGGCTTCTGTGGGCATAAAACCCCAACAGCACTCAGAACCCTTGTCATCGCTGAGAGTGCTTCAGACTCCAGCCCAGGAGGGTATCAAGAAGGCAGCCTCGGGCAGGGATTTTTGAGGATTGCGATGGGGGTTGGTATAGTGCAAGCCCAATATGTGTACCTTGTAAGGGACGTCAGGGATGGTCTAAGAACGCTCTCCCTCCAGAAGGGCGCTGTACCTGCCTGGCAGTGCATTTAACCTGCCTTCATCGCACCTGAACTCCGGGGGCATAAGGCAGCAGACCTTCCTAAGATTAAATGGGACATTCTGTTTCCTTTAGGCTGCAATTGCAGTTATCAATTCTGGATTAATGAACCTGATTCCGGGAGGATCCCGGTCTCTTATATGCAGCCGTCACCCAGAGTGGACGTCTCCTTCCACAAGGAAGCTATGCCTGGCCTATAGGTGTCCTCTAACATTAATTCCTCAGGCTATTACCTATGAAACGTTTGAAGGGCTTAATTCTCCCTCACTCTAGGACACCTAGGCACAGTTAAAGGAAACTTTCTTGGCATTCCTGACATGGACACATTCCTTCAGTCAGAGTGGGACTCATAGATGGGTCTGATTCGGCTCTCTTGTTCCCAAAACCCATATACACGGGTCCTATCCAACTCCCTACCGTGTGGTCGTTTCTGTCCTCTCTCCGCCCAGTCGCCACAGGGCCTTGGCCACTGCTGGCCCAGGAACAGAATCATCCTTCCCGGCATATCTTCCGCACCCCTTAAACTTGCCAACGGTGTGAGTCCATACCCGCAATGGGGCCCTTGGTGTCACACGGCCTCTACCCAGACTTAGTTCGGAGTAGCAGACCATGCCAGTGAGGCTCCAGTCTGCCTAGCGCTGGAAAGGAGGGCGCTTTCGGTGGCCGTGGGCTCCACCATGATAACAATTCAACGGCAGGTGAGGCCAAGATCCTCAGGACAGAAAAGGTCTACCAACCACGACAGTAACGCACAAGAGCTTTCAGTTAAGTACGCCAGTTGGCTTTAGGGCTATTGCCCTTGGTGGACACTCTCCACCTTCCCCCCACTTTTTTTCCTTTGCTGAATCCTCCTTGTGAGGGCTATGCATCCGTTCAGGGGGGAGTTCCCGGCCTTTCATCAGCATATTGCTGGCTTGGTCTGGCGCTGGATACAGCCTGCGAACATTTTCGTTGCGGCTTCTGGAGTTCCATTCAGCCAACCTTTGGCTGCGATCTGCTCTGTCCCACCAGTCCTACCGGGATCTTCTTCCCTTGGGTGGAACAGCTTTTTCCTTACAGGTATACCTTGTAGTGCCACTGTCGGCCCATCGACTGTGGACTGTTGGAGTCAGCTGGACAAGCCTCGCCCCTGGACTTCAGGTCCTTCCGCAGCTTCTGGTTTTTGGCTTTGTCACTGGCCGCGTGACCACACCAGTGGTGCGGGACACGTGGTACTTTGTCATGGAGGTTTGTCAAGCTGTTTGGTCTTCTCCTTTTGGCTGTGTCAGCCTTGGCCAGGTGAGTCCTTGAGCGGGCTCGCACGGTGCTTTGTCAGGGAGGTTTGTAGACCTGTTTAGTCTTTCCCATTCGGCTGGGTCTGCCTTGAAGCAGGTGGATCCTTGAGTGGGCTCACGCAGTGCGGGACTTAGGACCAGACTGCTGCCCTCCCGTATTACTGACCGGCTTTGGTATATCCCATTCCTGGATTATCTTCCCCGACACAATGGAGAAAGGGCATTGATCATACCTGATATACTCCTTCTCAGTGCTTGGGGAAGATCATCCAGCCCCACCCTGGTGACCATCTTGTCCATAGTCTGGGTGGGGCTTCTGTTTTTGCAGGTTTTTCTGAGCCTCATCATTGCTACGCTCTCATCGAACTGGGGAGGAGGCATGGCCAAGAAAGATCGACTCGGTCTCCAAGCAGAGAAGCAGAGTATTACCCATTCGTGGATGATTTTCCACGAACCCTGAGAAGGAGCGTATCAGGTAGGACCAACGCCCCTTTTCTGTATGACTTCATCATTTTTTCACATCGTTGTAGGGGAATTTTAGCCCATTCTTCTTTACAACATTGATTCGGTTTGTTGAGGTTTGTGGGCATTTGCACAGCTTCCTGGATATTGACTGGGCCAGTGCAACTCCTCTATTCTTTTCATTTTCAGCTATTGTGTTGTAGTTTTGGTGGTGTGCTTGGCATCATTGTTCTGATGCATGAGCCATTGTTGACCAAGCTTTAGCTGTCGGACAGATGGTGTCACATTTGACTCTAGAATACCTTGGTATACAGAGGAGTTCATGGTTGACTCAATGACTGCAAGATGCCCAGGTCCTGTGGCTGCAAAACAAGCCCAAATCATCACTCTATTACCACCATGCTTGACAGTTGATATCAGATGTTTGTGCTGATATGCTGTACTTGGTTTTCATCAAACATAGCACTGTGCATTATGGTCAAACTTCTCCACTTTGGTCTCATTGGTCCAAAGGACAGTGTTCCAGAAATCTTGTGATTTGTTCAGTTGCAACCTTGCAAATTAAACCGTGCTGCCATGTTCCTTTTAGAGAGATGAGGATTTCTCCTGGCAACTCTTCCAAACAAACCATACTCGTTTAGTCTTTTTCTGATTTACTGTCATGAACTTTGACATATAGCATTCTAACTCTGAGGCTTGTAGAGTCTGAGAAGTAGCTCTTGGATGTTATGGAATTTCTTTGAGCATTGCATGGTTTGAGTTTGGGGTGAATTTGCTGGGATGTACACTTCTGGAAAGATTGGTAACTGTCTTGAATGTTTTCCACTTATGAATAACCTTCCTCACTGTAGAATAATGTGCTTTAAATTGGCCTATAACCCTTTCCAGATTGTTGGTCAGCAGTGATTGCTTCTCCAAAATCATTGCTGATGTCTTTACCCTTTGGTATTGTGTTAACACACACCTCAATGCTGGAGACCAGCAAACATCAAAACTTCGACTTTTATAGCGGTAGTCACACTTGCTGATGATCAGTTGAACTTGATTATCAGTACCTGACTGCTACTTAATCTCTTCATACCTATGGAAGCAGTAAGGGTGTACTTAGTTTTTCACACATGGTTTCTCCATTTTGTCTTTCTTTTTGTAAAATAAATGATGACATGGTGCAATATGTCATGTGTTGTTCATCTGAGGTTGCAAGTACCTACTTTTAAGAACTGCTAAGGACCAGATAGATGATTTTTACTATGTCCTGATATGTAAAACCATAGAATTCAAAGAGGGTGTCTTTTTCACATGACTATAAATTATAATTACATTGTTTGACTGGATTGTAATTTAAATTGACTTGAATGCTTCTTTTTGATTTTGAATACTCCAAACACCAAGTCATTCTGATTGAGAAACCTTTCTCCTCCTGATTTTTAAAATTTTGGTTGTTTTGGATCTTATCTTTAAATTCAGAACTGTGTTTAATTTATTTTTGTTTTATTTATAGGTTGGATTTGAAAACAATTACGAAGACATTGACAAATAGATACCTCTACAAGATACCTTTTTGGTTACATTAGCAGGCCATAGTGTGCAACAAAATGATTACTTCAGAGTTACCAGTGTTACAGTGAGTATTAATTTTATAAGTAAATCACAGAATCCATATGGTAAATTATTGGTGATCAAGGATATCCTTGTGAAAAAATAAGGGATTTGCTACAGCATATTTATATATTTGATTACAGTTTTATAAGCATTATGTGGTTGAAATTAATCTTTGGAAATGTAATGTAAAAATGATATTCAAATCTCCTTTTTCTTATTCCAGTAATGGAATCTTTTTTAAAAACTATTTTAATATGAGCACGCTCTGCATGCTGATTTTTGAAATGAATGTTTTTGGTAATTGTATCCCCTCATACAGATACAGGCAGAAATGTACATTATGATAAAATATATCCTGAACAACTGTTTTTAAGGAATCTCTTTTAAGTATAACTTTAGAACAAAGTTCTAAGAATTGGCAGTATTTTATTGATTTAAGACAATGATCTTCTGAGGTCATACAGTAAAAGTAAAAAGATATGGTTATATATCAACTTGAAACATGCTATCTTTGGGGAGAAAAAGTTAAAGCTTAATATATCACCAAAAATAGATCTGAATTTTAATAAATATTTTGTGAGTTTTTTCTAACCTGAAATTAGCTGTTTAAACTTTGTTATTTCATAAATATTATTTAAATAGAAATTGCACAATACTGAAGATAATAAAGATAGGAAAGCAATGTAGAATATAAACAATCGCTAGCGAAATATAAGTAAAAATATGAAAGAAAACTTTTGATACTTCCCATTCCCTTCATTTATTTCCCCAACTGCTGATCACACTAAACATTGGAGGTTATTAGTTGTATTTGTTTAATTTCATTACTGTTTTTGGTTGATTTGGTTATTGTTTTCCTAAAAACTGTATTCGAATTGTCTGAATTTGCCTGAGTAATGTGTCATACATAAGGGAGTCATTCCTGCTTGAATTTACAATAGTTAGGCTTCTATTTGAATGAATACTACCATTGCTACATATACTCTAAGTTTGGTCTCCCAATCTTGTATCATTGCCAAAGTTTAATTTTTCTCAATGTTGTGCCTAATTTGTTCTTGTAGCTGTCAATATATAGCTTGGTGAACTATGATTGTCTTCATTGAGGTTTTCTGGAATTATTCCTAATAAAAAAAACATTGTGGTTATTTCGTAAGTAGATTTAGGATTGTTAAATGGATGGAACTGGTTGTCAACTGGGTGAAGCAAAACAAGTTATCGTAAACATTTGGTAGCTATAAGCATGGAAATAAACCAAATGTGTTTTGAGTTGCTCGATTTTTATTATGCTACATTACAAATATCTAATATTCTTATTTTTATTGTTTATATTGAACCTTTTACTATAAAGTATGAAATAATTCAAAATAAATTAAAAGTATCTTAGATATTTAGATGCTCTTAATTTAAATAGATTATTATAGAGAGACTGAAATTTAAAACGTCAAAACTGTTGGCAGGATTATGAATCGCACTAGACATGTGAGTTGATTTTATAAAGCTTTATTAAAATGTAGCTATTAGTAAAATATTGCTACTGCTCATGACTTTTCTGTGAAGAGTTTTAAACAAAAGTAAAAATGGGTATATTCTCCATTGCTCTGGGGAGAGAGAATCCAGGAATGGGTGTTGCTCTCTCTTCTTCCTGGAGACGGAGCCTGTCATCATTTTTTGGTGATGCCTCCTTGCCTGATAACCTCCCCAGTTCTGCTTGGTCTTCAGCCAGAAGAGATGTTCTAAACAACTGCTCACCAACATTGATTCCTGGATTCTCTCCAAACCGTGAGCAGAAGGAGGAAAATTGATCGGGAATTGCTGAAGCAATCAGGTCAGCTAACCGATCCGCTGGTTAGCCGCCCCTCCGGCTAATGCAAAGCCGAGGTCCCTGCCATTCCCGCCTCAAGTGGAGAAGGGATTCTGTTCGAATCAGCTTCAAACACAAGCCATGGTCCCTGGCATTATCCACACAGACAGCGGAGGGGACTTAGTCCCTGTCCAGATTCGCCTGGACATACTGGTAGTGGCTAGCGCAATCAGCACACAGGCAAGCCACAGCAGCTGTCATCCATTGCAGGTTGGATCTGCATCAACACGGTGGAAAATGGCTACTTTGGTGCCTTCTACCAGCCAAAAATCTCAGGAAGGGGACAGTAGGGCTTTACCTATTGCTTCCCCAAGCTGCAGTCAGAGCTTCTCCAGCCAAGGATTGGCTGGAAAACGAGCAAAAGACCGGAACTATAAGGCAGCCACTGCAAGCGCCAGAGGCTCCAGGGCAGCCGAAAAAGACACCCAGAGGCGCTAAAGGGCCATTGAACGGGAGCTGACCAAAGCCGAAAAGGCGGCAAAGAGCCAGAGCGTGGGAAGCCCTCATTCAGGAGGACCTGTCATCCCCCGCCCATCAGAAGAATGACCATTGGGAATTTGTAAAGGTACAAGCCTCTTGCAGCCTATTCACTACCGCACCTGGTCACCAGATGGTGCTAGAGAGCTGCTTTCTCCTATTCATAGAGAATCAGTGGAGAGAAATGAGGCTTTTTCTATTACAGCTTCCACCCTGTCTGACATAGGAACAGAGGTCCAAATTCCTCTTTCGAGGTGAAGGCCAGCACCTGAGGCCACCTTTACCCCAACTGTGGCGGGGTTCTGCCAAGGGGAAGACATTGGGTCAGAATTGTCTGACCATTTAAAAATGATTATTTCCCAGGCAATAATGCAGGGAATAGCTGCAGATCTGCAGCAAAGGAGTCAACCTCCTCCAAGTTTTCAGCAGTACCAGGCCCAGCACTTGCCACCCATGGCACAGGGATCCTGGTTAGAACCTCAGATCCTTCCCTTCCAAGCCCATTCCATTTGGAGCGGGGACTCCTCTGGAGAGGAGGATGACTTTATGGCTCTTTCAGAGGATGAGGGGATGGACCCAGGCCCAAGTACAATGGATACCGGTCATACGCTCTTTTCTGAGCCGACTGTTGAGAACGAGGTAATTCCATCCCCCAAAGTCTTTCTGGACGTTGTCCAGAGTCAATGGGCCCATCCAGGGGTGGGGCCTCCCCCAACTGGAAAAAGAAAAGTGACTGTATAATGTGGCCGCAGACCACAAAGAGGCATTGCAAACGTCAACTGTAGATAGTCCGGTGGCAGCCTTGCAATCAACTGTGCCTACCAATGCCATGGATTGCCTCAAGGCAGATGACAAGAAGGCGGAATTTGCTCTTCACAGAGCTCACCAGGCGACAGCCTGGGCGGTAAAGGCCGCTATATCCGCATCCCTTTTCAACCGAGCCTCCTTGCTCTGGATTCGCCAGATGCAAGCAAGGGTTCCCCCAGAGGATGTCAGGCTTTATCAAGATGTAAATAAATTGGTGGCTGCTGCTGAGTTCTCAGCCGATGCCATTCTGAATGCATTAAAATTCTCATCCAGATCTATTGCGTCTTATGTAACAGCTCGTCGCTTGCTGTGGCTTCGCCATTGGCAAGCTGACAATAAGAACAAGTGGAAGCTGGCATCTGCTCCCTTTACGAGAAGCAAGTTGTTCGGGGAGGCCCTGGAACCCATCCTTGTTTATACCAAGGATGGGTAAGACCATGCCTTCCATTTACCGTTGGGGGGACCGATGTCCCTCACCTTATTTCCAGAGGCAGCCCTTTCGGGCTCTGGACACAAGACTCAACAACCTCCAGTCCCAGAGATTGTACCCTGGCAAGCAAGACAGACAACCAAACAGGCCTGCATTTCAGAACCGTCAACCATTTTTGAATAAGTGACCCTTTCGTGGAGCAGGAAGTCATCCCTACCGCTGCTCTCGATGACTGAAAGGCCGATCCTCCCATCGATGGCCGACAAAGCCTCTATGCACATCATTGGGAGGCTACAACATCAGACAATTGGGTACTCAACACGGTGAGGTTTGGTTTAGCGCTCGAGTTTCTCTCCGCACCCCCAAATTTCTTTATCCGCTGCCCTGTGTCAAGGGACGCGATGAAAAGATGCCTGATGGAGATGGCTGTTCAGCATTTCCTGGATATCTAGGCCATCCAACCGGTCCCTCAGGGCTAAATAGGGCAGGGATTTTATTCGATCTTGTTCATGATCCCAAAAAACTTGGGGGGGGGTTGAGAGCAATTCTAGATTTGAAGAGGCTAAACGAATACCTCACCTACAAACGTTTCAAGATGCAATCCCTCCAGTCAATCCTGGAGAGCATCCAAGGGGGCGACTTCCTCACCTCCATAGACTTATGGAGGCGTACCTGCATATACTTTTCCTGCCTTCTCACCAGCACTACCTCCGGTTCTCTTATGCAGATAAACACTACCAATACAAGACATTACCCTTTGTCCTATCGTCAGCACCAAGGGTATTCACAAAGGTTTTGGCAGCATTGGTGGCCCACCTGCGGGCTCTACCGATCAGGATCCAGTGTTACCTAGATGACATACTGATCCAATCCTCCTCCGAGCCCCAGGCAGAGGAAGATCTACAGAAAACGATCAAAGTATTCCAGGACCATGGCTTTTCAATCAACACCAAGAAAAGCCATTTCTCTCCGACCACCTGGTTGCTCCATCTGCGGGCGATCATAGACACTTTGCTGTGCATGGTCTCCCTTTCACTGGAGAGGCGAGACAGGTTGTGGACCTTAATGAGGCCCATCCAGAATGAAAGTACAGTATCTCTGGCTCTCCTGTCCCAACTGCTGGGCAAGATGGTATCCTGTATTTCCATCGTACCGTGGGCACGACTACATGCCAGGACCCTACAATGGTTCTTCCTGCCTTACCAAAGGGCTGGCAGGAGCCATTTAACTGTCAAGGCCAGGGTTCCACAGAAGGTACTGCGGTCCTTCCAATGGTGGATCCACATCCACCATTGTCTCAGGTTCAAAGAATCTGACTGTCTGAACCTCACGACGGATGCCAGCATCTTCGGCTGGGGGGCCTATCTCCAGTCATTGATAGCCCAAGACCGGTTGACTCAGACAGACCTGAGCCACAATATCAATTGGTTGGAGCTCAGGGCAATAC